CTTACATCATAGCATTCTGTTGACCTTTTGCCTCTCGGAGAACTCGGTATCTAGTTATAGGACCGAATGTCACCCATGCCATTGTTACATTTCCAACACTATAAGATGTTTTTGCACCAAGAACGTGGTTGTAGAGTTCACGTTCTGCATTCGGATTATGTTTCAGGTTTTAGAACAGGCGGCTTTGCATATTGACATCATATTTTGTCTTCAATGCTTCAAAGTTTGAAGACAAAATATCTAACACAACGGTGTTACGACTTATAACGATAAGGGTGTTATTTACTAGATTTATATGGATATTATTATAATCATAATTCTTTAAAAAATCGTTCTTCTGTGTTAGTTAAACGCGAATATGTATATTTCTGTAATGTCAATAACTTCTGTTAAAGATATTAGGAATTCGTGATCACAGTCCATATTTGGTATAAGTATCTTAAAAATTACTGAAAACATTACATATTAAAAAGCGACGTGATTTTTTAGTTAGTATTTTTAACCACGATCGATCACTACAAGAAAATTTTACATTATATTTTGTACAGCAATTCCTAATTAGTTACATATTCCAGATATATTGATGTTCATTATAAAGAGAAATACTTCCATCTAAATTTTAAGGATTACTATGTAAATATAACAAGTTTTTATTTGTGCGCACTAAAACGTAAATAATAACATTATGTAAGGCAAATTCATAACTTTAATGTTAAAATTTTCTCTAATAGTAATTTTCTTAAAAAGCTTGTAGGCTAATGAAATCCGAGACGATGAAATACACATAATCAGGTTATAAACTTTTTTATTTTGTTATTTTTAGTTTTGTCTAATTCTATTCATTTCTGACATAGCATCAGTATTGCAAGGTGTTTTCCTGTTAATTTTATATATGTTGTTGTTCTCATAAGGACGGATCTAGCGAGCTCAAACACGATGCAGTTGCGTCATTTCATCACTAAGTTCCTATCCGATTTCATCATCGTATTAGCTTACTGCCATTGCATTGTTATCTGACTTACATGTCTATGCAAAAATTCTAATCTATCGGACTTTGGGAAGTATGTCAAATTTGAGTTCCATGATTTGAGCGTTTACAAGGCAACTAAAATAAAACCTTGTGATAAAACACATATTTGAAATATGAATTTCATATTTGTCTGAGGTTACTTACACTAATTGTATGGCTTGCTTCACCCACTTCTAAGCAATCATCTTTGGATCACGACAATAATTGTAATAGAATCATAATACCTAATACTAGACACGATTTTCAAATGTTACACGTCGTCGTACACTTACGACATAAAAAATTGACATAATATCACAAAATTGTTGCAAAGATAACTAGCTATAATGGAATTTAAAACTTATTTGGTTTACAAAATTTCTAGTATTCTTCTGAACTAATAAGAGATCAAACTGAAAAGAATTCTTTTCATACGTTACTTAATACCATGTAGCAACAGTAGCTTCATACAGCGAGTTTAAATTCTTAAATTTTTAATTCAGAACATTCTATGGGAACATTTCATACTTAGCCACAGTGAAGGGTTTAGCTATAATAGTTTATAACGAAATGGGACCCGTATTATCCACAAAGTGAGGGGTACTGAATTCTTTTTATTTCAGATAAATTATTATAAAATTGACATAAATTACTATTATTACTATATCACGAATTCATTCGTTGACATAGAAACATAAGTTTATTTACTTATTTAAATATGGTAGGCGATAGATTTCTATACGCCCATTAAGGTCAAGCCTGATTCAGTTTCCCACCAACTGTTGTAATGAGTACAGTTAATAATCATTGTGTATTTCTTCGATGAACAATGTTCTCATATGATTGAGTAGATACCCGTTATGGTCTCGGTCGCTTTTGAATACGTAATTTTGATTATTAATGCAATTGCGTTTTAAAATAAGCATCGCTTGATTACTAATCAGTAATAGAGTGATTACTATAATAGTATATAGTATTTCGAGTGAGTATTAGCACTCGAAATACTATATACTATTATAGTCATCTGTTTCTTGGCTATATGAAACATCATTCATGAATGAAATTTTGTACATTTATGTATCAATAATAACAATGATCTGGTTTATGGTTGGAATCGAATCGAGTAGGATCAATGGTCCATAACGCACTACGCGGGCCCAATGCGAACTGGTAGGTGTTAACGACTACTGATGCAGCCGGGACCGAGTTTAACTTGCATTCCGAAGCACGAAGGAGCTCAATATAATAATGTTTGGGTCATCCACCCTATAAACGGCTCTTACGATAGTATTTTAACAGAATGTAATTTTAATTTTCGATATTTTGAAACGCTTTCAAACAAGGAAGAGGTTATCAATTTTACTGATATTTTTTGTGTGTTTATGAATCGATTTTCAAAATTATTTTTTCTTATAACAAAACAAAATATGTTTTTCGTACGATATCACCAAAATATTTTGATGACATGTTTATATCAGCGAAGAAATCGTTCAAAAAACAAAAGATAGCGTACTTGGCATTAATTATCATTTGCATTAATTAACAGAAAATCTCAGCCCGACTTCAATCTTTCTCAATTTTTTGACAAATGTTTTTTTGACATTTCGAAATAAAATAAATAGCATTGTATAATAAATAACACATTACGGAAACGTACGAGCGTTTCGAGAAAGACGGCAATTTAAACAAATTGGTCTATTTTATTTTAGAGAAATAACGATCAAAATAACTGTACTGTAATATGGAAAGGTAAAATTCTTTGTAGCTCATTGTAGCTCCCATTTATGTCTTATTGATCATTGAAGATCGGTTTGTTTGGTCGTTTCCTATTTCTGAAATATGATTGAAGATAACATTCAAAATTTAAATTACGATGCCTATTAAAGGCTGAGTCGATTTAAAGTAAGCTTACTGAGATAAATATTTCTAACATATCACTTTAAGACACTTTAGTACAAGTCTATTCAACGATTGGTTAGTTACTTGTGAATTGTAAGACCAAATTAATTTATTCCGTGCTTGAAAACGCAAATATACCGTTTCTGAATTATTTATGTTTGGATTTGTGTGTCATACGAGTTTTACGAATACTGAGTATAGACGTATCTATTGTTGCCTAAACAAAGCGCTATTCAAAAGATTGTTGTGTTTTAACACGAGTTAGAATACCGTTATCTTTGTAAATCGAATCAATCATTACTATTGTGCGTTGATATCTGCTATATTTACAAACCGTCAGTCAATACACGGGCTATTGAAATGTTACGAAATGACCGTGAAATGAAAATATTGTGAGCGTTACTACGGTCGGCAAGCCGACTTACGCCAGGTCGTTGATACGGGACGCGGGCGCATATGATGCATTTGCGAGAAAGAGAAACAAGCACAAACATTATATATCTGTCCTTTATTCTCTTGTATGCGTCTGCCTGTGGATTCCAAATAGTGACTACTGTTTGTAAAGGTGATCAGTGGACGGGAAATGGACAATGTCTATTGCTATTGATTTATATTCAAGGGTACTTACTAATCATTGCCTTATAAACTCAAATGATCACATAGTTATGTAACATCATTATAAGGCATTAATTGTGTAACTTGCATCTATATTTTTTTCAATTTCGTGCAATTAAATTGATCAAAACTGTTTTATGTAACTTCTCATGATTTTGAAAGGAAAGCATAGGCACAGCAGTTATATAACAGCTGTTGAACAAAACGTCTTGATGTTTGAGAAAATTGTAGGGACACGCTCCCCTTCCCTACGAAGAACTGGTTAGTAGATTGGCGCCATTGATGGGGGGCTAGAGTAATTTATGATGTGACCCGTATTGCATTACGACCAACCATTGTTTGAAATCAAGTAAAGCTTGATAGAATGACAGGTTCATCATCGAATTATTTGAATATAATTTCGAAATTTACTGTCTATAACGATAATCAGATTCACATCAGACAATCGTTGTTAGTATTCTAAACGTTTATACGTTGACGCATTATCAAGTATTCTTTGAATACGCCATAAATAGGTAGCTAATGAGTCAGTCTCTATAGGGAATATTCTTGGTTTGATAAATTATTTTGTTCCAATGTTATAAAAATGACGTTGTAACTAATAAACATTTTAGAAAGATTTTTTACAGTTCACCATTTTCCAGAGACAATTTTCGATTTGAAGTATGCCCAAATATTGTTGTAGAACACAATGACGATGGCTGTCGATTCATCGCATAGTATCGTTTACATGTTCTTATCTTTTACTCTACTGTAAATTCTTTTACGTTATCTCACTGGCGCTGTGATAAATTAATCAACTTGAAATATAAAATAGATGCTATGAAGGTGAATGATATATCTTTAGGAACTGAAACCAATTTTATGTAGAATCATTTACATTGACAATGGTCTTATATTAATTTAATAGCTTTCTGCCAGCGGCTTCACCTCCTTTGTCCCTAGGCAACTGTTTAGTGGAAAAAAGTATATACGTTCTCACAAACTTTTGCATTTATAATATTAGTAGGATTACTGACTATGCTTATAAGTGTAATTCGTTCGTTTAGTGATATATTTTTCGGGACAGTTGGTTTGTAAGTATATTTACAGTTCAAGTGGTGCACAAAGATAAGATGTTCTGTATTCATAACAAATCTATTTTCAAAGCTCTCTAAAGGGTTTTAGAGGTTTCGAGTGCTAAAGCAGTCTTACTAGTACTTAAAATCGACAGTGCGAGTAAATAAACGACTCTTTGTCATAAAAATATCCCAGTAGAAATTTCAATATAATTTTTAGCGTTGAAAAGTTATAATTTTTTTTTTTTAAATATGCTAGGTACGTATTGATACTTATTTGTTGTATTCTACATACACTATAATATTTTGTTGTTTCCATTTCATAACTATTGTTTTAGAATGCAAGTAGTTATTTAAAAATTACCGTTTCATAAACACAAGGCTTTAGGACTACATTTTACAATTTTACGCTTTTGCAGAAAGTGGAGGATGCGTAGTGTAAAATGTTTTGTGGTCTCATCGTTCACTTTAAACTACAGTGTTCAATAATGTGAACTGCGATATCTTAGCACCGGTCTTGATATGGCTGTAACGACTTCGTCAAATTATCATGGCTCGCCAATCCACGATGGCTTTGCGACAATTCGTGCGCCCAGAAGTCGAATAAAGATAAGAAATCTAGTTGAACCAAAACCAACACTTAATCTACCTCAAAGACATTCAGAATATTTCACATTAAATAGAACGCCGAAAAACAGTTTCTTACAGAATAGTAATGATATTCAATATATTTCTGAATGCTCTTCTAATAGTAATAATAAAAGCAAACCATCTCGGCTTAGCTTCACTGAACCGATCTACGCGAAAGTGACACCGCCTTCTTCAAAAAGCAGTTCACCTGTGAAATCTATTAACGGCAAGCAAGGTACTCATTATGATTCAATAGATACTAAACCACGGAGACGTTTGAAAAGCTTGGACTTGGAAGATCAAAGTACAAGAAATGGGGATCGAACTAGTCCTGCGATTTTAACTAACGGTGACAAACAGTCGTATGAACATCATGTATTCAATCAGGATAGTGCAGAACAACATTCCATCCGTACTGACGTATCAGGGTCATCTGTACACTTTAGAAGAAGTCATAGCGATCGAGATAATTGTTCAGAATCTTCGTCGTATTTTACTGACAACGATAGACCCATATCGAGTTATAGCGATAATTCCACAATACCATCGACTGATACAGAAGACGTCCTCAAAGATTTGCCTAGTAAGTCCAAGTTTCATAGATCTCCTCAGAAATTTGCCACCCTTAATATGCGGAGACCCAAATTTATAGATTTAAAAACGCCGGGTATCAAAGAAAGTCCATTTTATGGAAGTTTGCAGCGGAACAAGATAGGATATCATTCAGAACCTAATACGCCTTTATCTGGTGATCACTCGCTGTTGAATGACGAGTCTTTTATAAACCAAGTGCACCAGATACCGAGAATGCCTCTTCAAAACAACAGAAATATTTTCAAAAGATCAACAAGCGAATCAAATGGCTTCTCGAAACGACTTAACTATAGGCATTCGTTTAGTGCTGATTCTAGACCGCAAAACTTTCCAAAAAAACCACACAAATGTTGTGAATGTGTTACTGGTATACCTACAGAAGAGGAAGAACAATCGCCATCGAGGATGTTAGGTACTTTATACGAAGCACAAGATCCTAAAGTAGGATGTCAAACTATACTTCGATCAAAACCTCCAATACCATGGTGGGAGTTGGCGATGAAAAAATCACGTTACAAAAGTTGTCCCATTTTAGAAGAGGTAAGATTTTCTCGAATCTTTTTAAATGTGTGTATTCTTAATAGGTTTTTGATTTTTACCTAGATGTAGGCCGTCTTTGTTATACTAATGAATTAAAGCCGATTTCAGCGGTAATGTAACAAGTTCAAATGAATCATTTTCTATGCAGTTTTCATTCGAGGTGTGGCCCTATTCCCCTTCGTTCAGTACAGTTTCATGGCTATGAAAGTAACGAATCTAATCGACACTCCAACAGGGGAATACTAATAATGCTAACGTGGCGTGTGTATTACCCACCTGACATTTGAATGTAGGGTGGAACAACGTACCTTTTAATTCTGTTTGTATACGAAAGAAAAATATTTTGGAAGTTTATATAAAATTGCTGTTTAAAAGTCTTAAAAAACATTACATTTTAGTTTTTAATACAAGTTAAATTTAAAAATTGTTAACGATTTATCTTCTCATTTTTGTTGTTATAACAGGTGGCGTTTTTGTTAGTTGAGATCATTCTCAACACGACTATGTGATTTAGTAGCACAGGTGAAGAACTTTTACATATGTATAATAATAAAAAAAAGACTACCTGGCTACCAAAAAAGTCTGTCTTTTCATCTCGTCGGTCAGGTGTTGACTTAATCGCTTGTCCGGTATACTCATTCAGTAATATTTTACAGACTACTAAGTTTGGTTCCCACGATCATAATAAAATAATCTCATTACTTCGTTGCATAATAAATATGTTATAAGAGAAATACTATCATTCTTATTGTTTTAATTAACAGTGATAGGTAATAAGGTAAATTTGACTAAAATTCTACTTTTATGCGAGCTCAAAACAGTATTCTAATATTGCATTGCTAAGTAGGATTTACAAACAAATCCTATTTGGTTATGCAGTTATTTATATTGTCATGATTATGTGGGCGACTTAGTTTCCAGGGCCATAGTATTGTTGCGGCCGCAAGGGACACCTTTGAACTTGAGCAATCAGTAACTAGTTCTAACAAAGACCACTTGCACCAAATTGAGTTAAATTCCAATAACCTCAAACTTACGTTATGAATTGATAATTTCAGGACAATAGAATAGTTTTGTGTATAAGTAGGTATCATATCTTAAAATCTATCTAAAATTTCCTATCTTTTTAATATTGTTTTATTGCAAACAAAGAAAGTTCGGGCTCATTAGCTATAGCCCGCTAGAAACTGCAAAGCGTATATACCTATGTATACGCTTTGCTGTTTCTAGCGGAATCACGCGATAACTATCTTCTCGGCACCCGAGACGTCGTGTCTCCTATCTTGTGGTGGCATTGGTGGCCACCAATGCCACAAGAAGTTGACCACGGCATACTTTCCTAACGGAGCCGCATCCGTCTTATTTCTTTCAAGGCTTATTTATGTGATTATTATTACTTGAATATCATAGAATCTACGTCTATTGCATTTAATATATAACTTTTTATTCCTTGGAGTAGTTTGACGTTTATTACCAATATAAATTCATTATTTTTCTTTTATAATACTCTATGCTGATATAATTCTCTGAAAATAGAGATGCCTCTAGGCTTTCGAATAGAGAACAAATATAAATCAACAAAGTTGTGTACTTCGATGCTAATAGTTCTAGACAATTACATTTTTGACGCCGAACAGATAATATTTTCATTGAGCGTCAACATAAACTGACCGTAGACGTGCAGCCCAGATACGCTGCAACCGAATAAGGAAGAGTGCACTTGAACTAATAATCTCTCGTTGAGAATATTGTACCGATCTCTCGTAAAATATCTCTGTGGGACGTCGAGTGGGTTTTAAGTAACAATGACCCTTTTAATATGTATACACCTACGAAATAAGTTCGGCTATAATGTTAATACTGCCATGTTTCGCCAAAAACATTATAGCCTTACATACCTTCACGTTGTACGAGTATATATACACAACAACTACACGTAATAAATTTCTAAATTCATATTGTTGTTTCATGCAAAGAGAAATTATTTAATTGCCTACCTACTCATTTTAGCCTCTTTCATTTAGATGTTCAGTATTAACTAACATTTTCCGCTGCATAATTTCTGGGTTTTGTTGAATATACGACTATTTGTTGTTTCCCCATTGAATAATTTCATGAAAGTCGGAAGCTGCTCGTCGCACTAACTGCATCCAATTGGTGCAAATGATTGTTAACCATTGTGCTGAACTATTGAAGTGATTAGAGGTGGTTTTACAATAAAACATTATTTACTTTAAATAGGCTTATTATGTTTTTGATGCATACCACTTTGAATTTCATGTGCACGTTAATTTTGAGTACGTTTTACTGTAAATGACTATTCATTGTTTATCTTACTTATGCAGACATCATTGAGTACACTAGTATCTTAAACGTCTTGTTTCCTCAGATATGACTGCGATTTATCGTTTTAATCTTTTGACAGACTTTTTTCTCTTTTAGGAATTAGAAGAAACTTATAATTGCAGTTATTTTAATCGTCACATTAAGTGAATGCGCTTTTATATGCAGCTGCTTAATGACAATTATCCACCACCTGTTTCTGCAATTTCTGGTATTTTGAGAGTCTTGTATAAGAATACCGGCAACCCTGCCTTCTCATGTCATTGCACTTGCTCATCACAAAATGAGTTAAATATTTTTATTTGCCACAGTTTCTGGAGTGTTACAGTACATACCAATATTAGTACCAATAATAAATATTCTATTACTCATTACAAGAAACCACATACACAATATGATTGTATATTTGACTTGCACATTTTACATTGCAACATTCTTTACCACATATTAAGGTTTACGACAGTAACGTAATTTATGATTTTAATAAAAAAAGTAAACGTTAAACTTTGATTCAATCAACAAAATTTAATGTTGCTCATAAAATTTCAGGGTAACAATTATAAATAAGTATTAAACAATCATGAAATAAACTCAAGTATACATCTGCGGATTCCGACATTTAAAAAAGCACGTGCAAAAGGTGTATCCCTGGAGGATCTATCAATGACAGTCGCATACCTTAATTGGCTAAGCCGTGTGCGCGCGGCAGGTGAATTACTCTATTAAAAAAAACATGTATTTTATTTACAATACCAGAGTCTGGCAATGTTCGAAACGGTTAAACAATTATTGTATACTTACAGCTTTGTTTTCCGGTGGTTATAAAATGCTTACCGTTAAAAGTATTCCATGCTCACATGTCCGGGTTCATCACCCCCTAACTTTAATTTTGCTGAGTGCGTTCCTGTGACGTTGCAAACAAAGGGTCCCTTTGGACTCCACCCACGATAGCCATTACTGTGCTATAATGTAATTTATTTTCATGAGTCATATTTAAAAATGTTTATAGCTAATCTTTCACCGTGTAACATCATGTTAGTAATTATTTATCATCACGGTACAGTTAACTGGCTTCTTGGTACTTGGACCGATAATGGTATGGGATGTTGATCTGGATACATAGTAATCTTATTTTGCCAGTAACCGAGGTGTTGTGGAAAGATCTCTGTCGGTTTGTGGTCATATCTGATTACTGTAGTAGAGATCTTAGTTATTTCACTCGCGAAACCAGTTTTACGGTACCTAACGTTTTATTCGCTATAATCCAATTGACCCAACAGACGTTGTTTGGCTAAATCATTTATAAAAAGCACTCGTAATATTTTCTATTATATCTCTCCTAATACCCTTATTCGAGTAAACGTTGACATAATTGAATCAGTTCTGATGTGATGCGGTTTTCAATTAAATAATTATATGCGAAAAATCTAGTAAAGAATTTCAATATATGAATGAGTGTTTGTCAGGGACTCGAACCCACGCATTATAGAAAACAGAAAGTAATCACTAAGAATGAACGTAAACGCCCTTTTTACAACCTGTCGAAATTAACACAGACATTATGTTGAAATGTGATATAGGTAGATGCATTTTTTTTCTAGTTTTCTTGCGAGAAACATCATTGTATAGAGGGTCAAAGTAGAAACCAGTTTCATCTAAATCACTACAGTAATTTTTGAGTGAGTATAGAGAATTTTTATGATCGGCTGAGGATGAGTCAAAAGTCTAACCAATACAAAAAATGGCAGAGGCAAATAACTTTATAATGTAGTGATTCAAATTTATTCCCGTTAATTTTATTACAGAATCGCATATATTGATAAAAATCACCGTTTAAGTACGGATAAATTATTCATAATCCTGATATTCTAATGAGAGGTCTGATTATAACGTGGGCTCACCAATTACCATTAGTGAAATCTATATGAAGTTTTCGAATCCAAATGGTAAAATGATTAGACTATGTGGCGCCTCTGCACCCACGGATTCTAGACATAGTAAAAGGAATATAACACTAATAGTATATATTATCAAATCAATGACACAAATACTGCAATGTTTGGTAAGAAAATATTTATTTGTAACAGTTAACAAGTTAAGGACTCAAAAATACTTTAAGTCCTTAACATTCGTCTCTAACACCCATTTTCATTAACCTAGAACAAGGGATAGCTTAACTAGGAGACGCCTAATATTACGAATCGCCTAAGCAGATTAGTTTAATTCCAAATTAATATATTTTTCTTTTATCCTTTGACATATTTATGACCTGGCGTATTTTTAAATGCCTAGTATTTGCCTTAGTATTTGCAAATGCCTAGCGCAAAGCGCCGCATAACGAATATCATAACTTGAGACATTGCTAATTTCGTTAGGTGGTTTCTAGACAATGGTAAAATACATTTTTACGTTAGGCGATTCCTAAATATTTAGGCGACAGATTAGGACGACCCTTAAGTTAAGTGAAAACGGGCATAAGTATGTTCTAATAAAGGTTTAATGTCTTTGTTCTATCAATTTTATTATCCTTCGTATTTCTGTTGTTGTAGGCTCATGTTGTATCTGCGTTCGAGCAGAGCCTCTCGAACATGACCCAGAGGCTGCAGCAGCTCACCGCCACCGCCGAGAGAAAGGTAATAAACTCGTTTTATTGCTTTAGAGATTAAAGCTCGCTCTTATCTCATCATTCAAGATTAAATGTTATAACACTACTCTCAGTTAAAAGACTATTAAGGTTATGTATACCTAGTTTTTATTCCCTTAACGATTATTGAACATTTGTATCTAACAATCCCGTTTTAATGTGAACAAAATACATATCCGTTCTAATTGCAATGAATATGATAAAGAAAGCTTATATGATGCTTTGAGACTGACCAAATTTCACACACTATTATTTACTAGGTGCTACGTTTTTTTTCTTCTTTGATATAGTCTTTATTATCACTAAATTGTAAATTGATATTCTCTTGTCTCTAGGATTCTGAACTGACTGAGTTGCGGCAAACGATAGAATTACTTCGGAAGCAGTCTATTCAAGCCGGATTGACCACTGCGCACATGCAGTCCATGGGCATCCGAGCTGATGGCGTTAACGTCACTGGACAGGTATGTGGACATTTGATCGTCAAATTGAAATTTAGAGAATTAATTTCCAATATAGTAAAATTTAAGATTTTTTAAAATAATAATTGACTACGTGAATAGATAGTTTAACAACTTTTACTATGGGAGCAACACTGAATTCACCAAAAAATAATTAGCTGTTTCATACTGTCACCGATTGTAGGTATTATAATTTTGTATGAAACAGCTGATTATTGTTTCGTCAATTCAGTGTTGCTCCCATAGTAAAAGTTGTTTAGTATACTTCCTAATTCACTCCACGAAGCCCTAGCATATGACGAAAAAATTTAGTAGGTAGGTACGCAAAGTGTCGCGCAACAACGAATTTTGAAAGCGTCTTCAGTATACTTCAGTATGTTATAAAAACAATTATAATAAGGAGATTCTTGCAATTTTTGATTTTAATATTATGTTTTTAATTGATAGACTTTTATTTATTGCAATTAAAATGTTTCAATCCGATTCCAATTTACTGATATTGTTATCTATTGAGATTCACGGTCATTTCCTTTTTATCTATAATTTGTTATACATAGTATAAAATTGTTATTTAAATAAAGGGCATTATTATGATTGCCTACTGAAAAAGTTGTTTTCGTTGTATACTCTTGTGAGCACAATCAATGATATCCATCATGTATGCGATGTCATGTAATAACTGGTTATCACAACTAATAATCACTATTTTGCAGAAAATAAATTTCTAAAATGTATTATTGCAATCGAAACAACTAATAATTTTAATAAATAATAAGTTCATGACGTTATTACGACAGCAAATATGAATAATATATGCATATTGTTCAAATAACTGTCTCGCCTATATGATTTATCAATCACTAACAATGAATTATAAGTATTGATAATTCAAATTCCGCATGATAAAAATGGAGTAAGGATATCAACCAGCTTAACATATTGAGTATGGTCGGAGGAGTACAAATATTGACATATTTAATAAGCTATTGATATCATAAGCCACTTCAAATGTAAGATTGATTAGTTTTTATTTAGTGCTAAAGCGTCTATACTTTATCATTAATATTTGAACACCGATATGATCGTAAGAATATGCCAGTTAATATTCATGGATATTATTAACTATTGTATTGAATAAACTAGTAAATAATTAATTCTATTCCGTCGAGTTTGAATTCCAATTTCTTTCTCTCTTTTGTTAAAGCCTGCATAATACAATTCTAATTATTTATAGAAAATATAGGATGGCTTTTTTGTCTAGTTTAATTTGTCACTTTTTAATTACTTTTTTAATAATTAATAAAAGAGCAATCCTAATCCTCTTTATCCTTATAATGATTTTAGGATTACCTTAATTGATTTAGTAGTTATTGCATTGTTGAATTATTTTTTTAAATCATTCTCGAGCTCACTTGTAAAGTTACTAAAATTGAGTTACAATGTTTTTAATACAGGTGTTGTTTTGTTTATATTTACAATTAAATTTTTATTGTTAATATTGCATTACAACGTATAACAGCAGGAACCAAATGCGCAAACGCAGCAATCATCCCCGCAGCGTAACGCACAAACGGGCAACGGCGCGATCACTAGACATCTGTCGACAGACAGCGTGTCCAGTATTAACAGTCTTAGCAGCGGTTCTTCTGTGCCTCATGACAAGAAACATAAGAAAAAAGGATGGGTAAGAATGTTTGTTGGCGGATATGTTTGCACTAATAATTTACTGTCACTTGTAGTCTAAACAAACTTATAGATATTGGAAAAGGATAGAGATATATAAACTTTTTGTGTGTAATAATCTAGTTTATTGCAAATAACGCACGGAAACAAAGATTAGTGAGTCTTCCTAAAAAAAACTCCGCTATATTATTTTTAAATGGGATAAGTAAATAAATTTTACATTAAATGGTAGAAATCTTAAGGTAGAATATTCAAAACAAAATATACTTATATATCAAAAACAGGAAATGTACAGTTGGCTGCCTTATAAAGTGATCTCTTCCAGGTAACCTTGGGATCGACTTAAATATAAAAGACCTAATGATGGGGTAGTGGATGTTGTACCTATAAACATAGAATTATAGACTATTGTTAATTAGTTATGGTTTTAGTTTTTACAATAGGCATAAATATACTTATAATAACTATAATAAATAAGTATATAAACATATAATGTATATCTATATACATACTTTAATGGAGAAATAGTGCTCTCTAATAAGTTTCCTAAATTATTAAAACGTTTAGCGTTTCTAATCGACAAAGGTAGCGCATTCCATAAACGGTAAAAGATTTATCGTAAAACTTAGTACAATAATGCTAAGGCATTTCTAACCGCAAGTTTTCTGATGATCTCAAAGAGCGGCGGTGGGATTCTTTGACGAACGAAGGAGAAGTGGTATTAAAAAGTATACTAAACTTCGAGCGATAGATTTTTGAGGAATCATTAAATTTATATTTGAAAATTTAGAAATGTTATCAAATCAAAAACGTTTCATTCAGTATATTTACCTATGGATATGTAATATATTTTACATTTGTGTCATGAGAAAAATAAAGAAAACAAGGTTAAACAAATGCCAATGTCGCCAACGACTCAGTAGCTTATTACTTGAATAGTAATCACTAGTTGAAATTTATGATAAACTATTCTTAGTATACCGTAGTGGAAGTTGTATATAAAAATATCTATATATTTCTTTGTTCCTTAATTTTCTTCAACTTTAATATTTATCAAAAGTGGTATTTATCAGTTTATGCATATTGACTCATTCATGTTATATAGTTAAAAGTACCTAATAGGTAAATATAATAAAGACACGGCCAGTGAGCGTCGGACTTATGCACTGATTGTTCAAAATAAGTTAGAAGCATTATAAATAGAAACTCTTTCATGTTATATAATTAAAAGTAATAGGTAAATATAATAAAGACACGGCCAGTGAGCGTCGGACTTGTGCACTGATAGTTCAAAATAATTTAGAACCATCATAAATTCAGATATTCATACAAATCCGCTGTTGCCAACCAGGATAATACATAATAAAATAAATATTATGAGTGTGATTTAAAACAAAACCTTGTTTCTTGCAAAAAAGCTGCTTTAAATGATCAGTTATTTTGTATGTAGTTTTCGCAGTCTGGTTTTCTTAGTGGTAAATTAATTCACTGCCAAACTTTACGGTGGCTGAACATTTCTAATTGTCGGTTGTGATGTAAGTCACTAACGATATGAGTAACTGTTATAATTATAGTTATTGTTATGAGTTTAAGAATATACTGTTATAATAGTTTTCTATAGAGTTTGATACTGTTGAACGTCATGAAAATTGCCGCGGGATGTGAATTAAAAGCTCCGAAGTCTACTAAAAGTAAAACAAATAGATGATAACCATAGACTTATACATAGAAATACTTTGAGTATATTATAAACTTACAATAAATAATAGATATTTACAAGAAACAATAAAATTAATATTCTTTTTTTTTTCTTGAAGTGAACTTTTAGATAAGTTATATATTTTTCACAGTTTGATATTTAAGAACTAAAATATAAAACTTCTTAATGAAAAATGCTTAAAAAATCCACTTGGTCCCTGGCACCCTAAGAGGGATTCAAACTATTCTTGATAATATTCTTAATACAAAACTGAATAAATATAATTAAATATAACCTTATGTTTTTTTTTTATTGAAGACTGATTTTATTGGTTGATTTTGTTAACCGTTATAAACATTTATGACACTACTTAAATTTTACTTTGTAATTTAATAACAGCTAAAAATGGTAAAATCAAAGTTTAAAAATACTAGCACTAATAACATGACCGTTTCTCAACAGCTTCGATCATCGTTCACCAAAGCTTTCTCACGTAACGCGAAGATATCTAAGACGGCGAAGCATTCGTCCCTCGGGCAGCTGTCCTCGCAAGACAGCTCATCAGGCTCACACCATTACGACGACCCGCATACAATAAGGGAAGGCAGCAATGAGAACAGTCTGGAACATTCGCACGAAGCGCTTAACGAGAAAGTGCAGGTAAATAATTTTATTACAGTGAACGAAAATAAATACATATTATGTTTTTTTGGTAGTGCTTTATGTACTATTATCGATAATCACACTTTTATGCTTATTATATTTATAAATTACTATTTTTTTTTTCTCGTTCTCACTTAAATACAAACAGCACGTAACGTCGCGCCCTTCTTACTCATATCAAAACTTAGAGAATTAATTACATATATTTCACGTATATCTATAAAATAAAAGTATTTCAAAAAGTTGTCTACATCCCTATTGGGTACTTTATTTTAGTAATTTTAATACGGTACCGTTACCACTTACTTTCCCCGTACAGGGTGTTTTATTTTCTTTTTAACAATTTTCTAATGCATTATTGCAAATCCAGACTCACCAGCAGCGTGGGTCATTGATACATATATATACATATTCTATTTCTCCGAAAACGAAATGCTAATACCACTCCAAATGTCAAAACACCTCAAATATTTCGTTGTGCCTTGCAATACATCAAAATGAATTTATAAACACATCTCTATCAGATAAAGGGACACCATTCTATCAAATTCTCTTTTTATAACGATTATAACGATTTTAAGGAATTTTCAACATGAAGAACGCAGTAAGTGGTGTGACCACGGTGTCACCAAATAAAACTATCTGAATACCTATCAAATGTAGTATAATATTTCAAGTTATAAAAATGTTAGTGACGTCACACAATGTGACCTTATCTAACATATTATTATCGTTAAATATGCTAATTTCAAAATTTATCGTAACGTCTTTAACTGACATCAATACTAATTAACAAACTGATAAAACTAGTTAATATCAAACATGTTTTATTGTAGTATCTTCAACGTTTGACCTCTTAGTACCAAAGATTATTATTAGTTGAAAAGAATTATACTTCCGTATAAAATGTCGTATTTTATTTTTATCTCCACGATTTTTGGTAAACTAATTCAGCTATCTTTAAACAGTCAAGGATATATATAGTATCATAAAACGTTTATATTCCATGAGAGTAATTAATTAATCTTATCATACATTCTGCCATACAGTTTGCAAATATTTGTGTTAGAATACAGTAGACACCAACGATATGGGATATTTATAGTTACTGCATAGTGGATTTCTGCTTTTCTGGAAATAAAGCTACTCGCTGAAGCATTTCTCAGGTTGAGTGACCAAAAGTTTTATTAATTTGATCTCTTTCAAAAACAACTTTTTAGTTTAGGCCCCGCATCCGCAATCCTTAACACTCATTAACGCATAAGAAGACCCTTCTTTCAATGTATGCGGTTTCTATTTTTCCATTTGAGATCGTTTTTGCTTTCCCTACAAGTCGTAATGTAAGCACCGAGAGATTACAATGCTCAATATTATTGTGCTCAAAATTAAATATATCGAAACCCGTTTTATTTTTTCCTTGTTAACCTTCAGACCTTTTAGGATATCATAATAAAATCATTTTATTTTGCATAATTTAAATTTCGCAAAAGATCAAGGTTTGATTTTTTCTTGCAAGAAATTATAAGGTACTATTGAAAATTCTACCATAAGGCATAGTACACAAAATGTTTACTATGATAAAAACATTTAAATGTCAATCAAAGCAGGTCAGATTAAAGTTTGTAAATTGTCAATTGACAACAAAAATAAATTAGACATTGGTAACTTAGATAGAGTTACATCTGTAACAGTGTAATTTAATCCTAATCTTAAAGGTTCCGCCATACAGAACACGTACACCCAGTGGCGTAGCTACCAAGGGGCTAGGCGGGGCAGTGCCCCGGGGCCCCCAAGTTCAGGGGGCCCTCGAATCTTTACCAGAAAATCTCAATCGAACTAAACTTTTGAAAATTTTTCCCATTTTCAAAATAAATATGACAACTCGAGTTTAATCATGGCCGCTCAGTTGTGAGAAATTCCAAAGTTATAAAAAGGGAATTCCCCTAAATTATTGTGTGGGTTGACAGAGTTATTTGTCGGATATCCATATCTGCATATTACTATTTATCGATATGCGTTTTTGTGATTCGCAGTTGTGAACTTCGAGTCAAGATTTTTTTCGAGAATAGTTGAAAAGTAAATGTATCAGGAGTAAGTAAGCGTATGTCAATAAATTTTTTGTACTGGTCCATACAAAAGTTCAATTTTATTTGATTATAGTACGTATACATAGTTACATAAAGAAATCTATAGATTTCGGCTATTCACTATATAACTCAAAATACCGTGAAAAATACAAATGCGGTGGGGGCCGTCCATTAATTACGTGATGTTTCTTTGTCATTTTTAAATACGGCCCGATGTTGCCGCCAGCACATAAACCGCACCAAATAGTCACTCTTTGTGGGTGCATTGGTTTTTCGACAATCACTCTTGGATTATCATTCGCCCAAATGCGGAAATTCTGTTTATTGACGAATCCACTGAGGTGAAAATAAAGAAGTTTCATCACTGAAGATGATTTTCTTCGAAAATTTGGACCATCGGGCCATACCATATTATCGTAATAAACAGAAATGACAATAATTTAAATAATTTGTGTTTTATTTAAAATCAACATCGGCCCTTAAAATTTAACCACCCGATACTTCTGGACAAAATATTCCTATTGATAATTTTTGTTAATATTTTGCCTAGCGATAGGTTTAATAACAGTAAGCTGGTGCAACGTATCTATGAATAAATAAATATATAATAAACCCTTGAATCTTTTCTATTTCGTTTTATTAGAGTTTAATAGTTTTATTACCTACCCATGCAGCAAAAAGAGCTGATGATAAAGTTGCTTAGCATTTTTAAAGTTTTTGTATATTTAATGATTCTACTTTAAAAAACCTTACCAATCTTGATAGCAGTGGGCCCCATTTTTTTATTTGCCCCAGGGCCCTAGGTTACCTAGCTACGCCACTGCGTACACCGCAACAGCGACGTTCATCATTGTAATACAGTAGATATTAAGTTGGTACATCACGAGTTCTTTACGAAAATGTATATGTTTTTAATGATATTGTATTATATTTAATTATATTTTGTAAAGGTTATTCCATCAAATTTGTTTATTTTTGTTATATGAAAAACTTTATTTATGTTAATAAAAAAATATTCGAAAAGACAAATTATGCTGCTTTGAAAATTCAAAATAAGTATATATAGTTTGAGTATTTTAATAACATTACATTATAAACTTAAAATACATAATTATAAAAATAATATTATAGACATTTTCATTGATATAAAATCTTCATTAATCAATCTTTTAATATGCCCATTCCAGGGGCTCAGGAATTGCCTATAATGGAATCAAATAAGAAAAACGGCCCATAAGACACCAAGCGGGCTTACGGTTGTTCACCCATCCTATGACCGACCCTTGCAAAAGTTGTTTAACCCCCGCACCGCAGATAAGCTCCAACGAGCTCGACTTAAATGTCACCGTTCGTGTGTGACTGCTTTTATATTACAACTAAAAACGTCTGGCGATACCTTTATTATTCACGTGCTTCTGATATCGGATAGTATGAAATGAGTAAACGTCGTTATGAATTATTTATAGCGATACCGGTTATAGTGATAATTGCGTTACATTCGGTTTTTATTACATTATTGACATAACATACGTTTACAAATTAATCGTACCGCATGCATTAAGTTACCTACAAAATGACCCAGATAAGTAAATTACATTGTTAAAATTAAAATAGCTGTTAAGTAATTACATATTTGTTAACACCATATTAATTACATTATATTTTTATACGTTTTGTGATTTGCTTAACGATGTTGTAATATGCAGGCAGTACAATGTTTATATAGTTGTATTTTTATTTTTTTATCATTCATATAAGTGAAATATATTTCTGGGACTTTCAAAATCGCATATAAAATTTGATTACTATTCTTATCATCATTAAATTATCTTTCTCATGTTAAGATATCAGTTGAAGTGAATCCTAAAACGTTCCTACACTGACATGTCCATTCTTATAATATATAATCAACACGTTATACTTATATTATACTACTGGATGTCTATTAATATCATAATGTTTCTTTCAAGGACAAAACAACATGTCCGGCAGCCAAACCCGAAGAGCAAACCAAAGGTGAGATTTTGTTAAGCAAATAAGGCATATAGTTTACGTTGTCTCTTAGCAGTATTAGTTCTTGACCCAGTAATGCCTCTAACTACATTGAAACTACTCTTAGGCTAAAGGTCGTTTTTCAGGAGGAATTTCAAATAATAGTTTCTACTTTCCATCACTTTAACAAAAAGCAGGTTATTGTGTAACCAGATCCGATGTTTTATGGTCCTAGCAATAAGTACTAGTTGTATGTAAATTAATTATTCGCCTATTGTAGTTCCGATCTTTAAAGGCCCTTGATTTCCTTTGCGTGCGGAGGTTTTCATGCATGGTCTATTAAAATATGGAGGCCTTTCCATCTTTTTTACTGCATTCTTAGTTAATAAGATAGAAACGAAACACCGATTAAATGTAATCAATTAAATACACATAATAATTAAGTATTTTTAGGTAAACAGCAATAATCAATAAAGATTCTTTACATTAAACTTTAAAAGCAAACTAACCGCGGAACGTAAAATTAAATATGGGTTGTATCTACAGAAAAACCTGACGACTCCGGCTTAGTAGATGAACTGAAGAGACAATTGCGAGAGAAAGATTTGGTGCTAACTGACATTCGATTAGAGGCGTTAAGTTCGGCGCATCAACTCGAAAGCCTCAAGGACACCGTCATTAAAATGAGGGTAAGTGTAGTCATTTTAACATCATTATTATGACCCAAAAAATCATGACAGTTCAAATATCAGTGTATACATTGAATTAATATTTTGAATGACTGTACAGGATAAAGGTTATTCTCATTTATTTCATTATGAAGTATTCATATTTTTCGGGCTTGTCAACTCAATTTTATACGTGTGTGCTAGTTGTTGAATCTATTCAGCTCACAGAAAAGAATCGGAAATGAAATAACTAAGAAATATTCTAAGTAACTGTCGACTGTTACTGTCGACTGTCGAGTTGCAGAAATGTAAAACATTTCATTTATGAAAAAAAAATAGAGATCTATCATAGACATTTAACTACATTAAAAATCTACATATACCAGATAGCACATAACTGAAATCTATTTAAAACGAGACTGGACGCCTTCTAGGCAAACACTTCCTACTCTAGGTAGATCTAACCCATACTTCCAGGTTAGATCGAGTTCAAGAGTGGGCCCATTAGTAATAAAAGTTCTCGTAATTCTTTTTATAGCTCAAATTGTTAAATATGTGCATTTGGCTACTTGACTGTATTGGAAAAAATAGTATTTTATAACTTTCATATGATCATTAAACCCCTATCAGATTTATTTTTTCAAAAGATGTAATAAATTGAAAGAAAATCATATTTTTATTCATTAATTTTTTAATTGTCCTTCGAAAACAGTCACCTGACATTTTGAACGTGACGTTACATTTCTATAAACATAAGTCCAGTTGCACTCGCAACTAAGACGTTGATATTGAACAGTGACGTTATATGATGTTCCGTCATGGCGGTTCACTTTTCGGTATTTTTAATCCACAGATTATAAATACTACATTTTTATTGTTTTCATATAAGTTACAATTTCTAACATAATTTGTTAATTATTGTTTAACTATTAAGTAGCCATATTCTTTCATAGTCTTCTGCGCAGTCGATCAACACACTCTTAAGCTCATCGAATACACTATCAAATCCAGTTGTTTTCATAAAAACGCACTGCTCTACGAGTACTTCATATTGATAGTAGCTATATTTGCAAACGAACAGATTGTTATTGCTGAACAGCTTTAATAAAAATGCAATTAAAATTCAATCTCACCGCAAGCCTTTAATCGACCGGTAGATAATACGGTTTTCGATACCGCTCATTAGCGATAAGTAACGTAAGCCCGTATAATAATATAAAATTAGCACCAAAAACGGCATCTAATTACGGTTTTTGGACAGTTAAGTAAATAATCGTATCATAGATTTATTTATTCTTGTGTGGTCGCGTATAATTATGTTATGAATTTTCCTTTATTAGACAAGGTTTTATAACCTTAATTTGACCTGTAATAACATACATAATAAACAGGTATTATAGCATCTTTAAATTTCTTATATTAAAAAGTAGGTACAGTAGCTACATTGTATGACTTCTGCAATTAACGTATGTTAATAGAATAATAAATTTGAACAGTACTATGTAATTAGTAAACAAAATTGGTTTGACTATTCAAACAGTGAGGCATCGTTTATAAAGATTTTTTCCCTCAAAATCTTGAAAGGTGATTATCGGGCAGTTTGTATTATTTTGATTGACATTGCAATAATGTTAGCCTAAGTAATAATTATGATTGTAGACCGAAAAATCATAAATAATGGTTACATGATAAAAGATAGTATATAGATCAATCAATTTTTATCTGTAATTGAAATATACTTTTCAGATTTTTAATGATTGTTATTTCAAACATTAATAAACTCTTTTGTAGAATGAAATGCTGAATTTGAAGCAAAACAATGAGCGGTTACAGCGACTAGTGACATCACGCTCGCTAGCGGGCAGTCAGAGCTCGTTGGGCACTGGCTCGGCAGTGGAAGATCCAAGGAGATTCAGTCTTGCTGACCAAGCTACTATGCACCAGGTATTGTTGATAATAATAGATTTTTTTTAAATTGACTTATCCAAGTACTATAGACAATAATAGATAAATATTTTTTTTTATTGACGTACCTAATCATATTTGTTTGTACTGATATGATATTACCGAAAATGTACCTGTATAATTTGCTTTGTTTAAAACCACACTGTCGCTTTGTATGTTATGAAGAGCCGAGAAAATTTCATCATCACCAGTCTATTAATGACCCCATTGCTGGGGCTCTGGCTTTCCTTATGGATGGAATCAAATTGAATCGAATAGGGAGAATGGGCCATAACCCACCACGCGGACCCAGTGCGCATTGATGTGTATTAACGACTGCAGATGCCGGGACTAACGACTTAACGTGCCTTCAGAAGCACGGAGAAGTTCAAGATAATACATTTATGGTCACCTATCCTACGACTCGCCATTGTGAAACTTGCTTAACAAGTGTATCGCAGACCGAACGCGCTAATTTTACGCGAGAAAAATTACTCTTCTGTATTTTTGCCTACTTGATACAAGTTTTACTAGGTTATTAAATCAACTATATATTCATATACAGATTAAACGTACCCACGTAACCTATAGAAAGGTCTTCATTTAACTCTGGATTTATTTTCAGGCGGCGATAGACATTCACTCGCAGCCTTTAGATTTAGACTTCAACTGCATAGCGTCTACGCCCACTATGGACTTCAAGAAAAGCTCACCCAATTCCACTATGGTCGAACCAATATACGGTAATAAAGCTGTATGTGAATTGAACGAGAAGAGTGAAGATTTATTAGGGCCTTTGAATGGGTCCAGTGATATATTTACCAATGGTTTGAACCCCAGCGAGAGATTGAGCGGGGATTATGATATAAATACGGTGCTACCTCCACCTAAAAGTAGAGAATTAGCTATAGGGGAAAGTTATTCGGATATAGGTGAGTAACTTATATAAATCAAAATTAAGTACTCTAAGTGATGGACGTAAGAACTAAATTCAATTTCCCTAAGTTCCGAATTGAATTAGTTTCATTTTCGCTTTTCGAGTCTAAGAAATAAGTGTTTTTGACAGTTTTATATACATTCGAAGAGTTTCGCCAAGGCACTACTAAATGTCATATTTCTATTTATCAATTTGAATTCTAATAACAATATATATGTTTTATATAATTGGATGAGCTGTCGAAAAGGTCTTTAAAACACGTTATTTTGATTTCAGGTGTCGCCGATAGTCAAGGCGACACGACGGACGGAAAGAAAATTGCAATAGCAGTATACTTAGGACAACCAGAGACATTCCAAAGATATTTCGAAGAAGTCCAAGATACTTTGACCGAATCCGAATGCAGGTTTTATGCGAAGCAATCGGCGAGCGCATACAATAATCATTACGAGAAACAACCGAGTTTCGATTCGCCTCGTATGTCCCAAACGCACAGTCCAGAAACGGAAACGCAAGACTACCCTCATATAAATAAGTCTAACACGAATAGCCTTAAAAGTAATAAGTCAACGCACAGTAGTTCATATAAGAATGTTTACAACAGTGATTCGACAATAAACTGTAATGAATTCACTATAGCGTACACTTATATATCTGGCAAAACTACTTGGCAGAATTTAGATTATATAGTTAGGAAGACTTTCAAAGATTATTTATCCAGGATAGACCCAGGTACGAATCTGGGTTTGAATACTGATTCTATAACGTCATATCATCTCGGGGAAGCGACTAGGGGTCCCGAGATAGGTTTCCCTGAACTGCTGCCTTGTGGATATATAATAGGAACTGTTAACACGCTGTACATCTGTTTGCAAGGAGTCGGCAGCTTAGCGTTCGATAGCCTTATACCAAAAAATATTGTATATAGGTGAGTACATTCAGTTTTCATGTCGGTTTTATATTTAAATCTAACTAATTGTATTTTGAACTTTTGTGATTGCTAACTACCAATTCGCATAAGTGTTTTTATCCAATCCCATTACAATAATATCTGGGCAGAGGCAACAATGAATAGTCTGTTAATGTTTAGTACTTAACAGAATAATTTAAGTGTTATTATTCATTTTTAGATATGTATCGTTATTATCGGAGCACAGGCGTGTGATATTATGCGGGCCGAGTGGCACCGGAAAGTCTTATTTAGCCGCAAAACTGGCAGAGTTTTATGTACAGAGGACTCAACGACGTGGGAATCCCGCCGAAGCAGTAGCTACTTTCAAGTAAATATATAGTATATTATGCTTCTTGAAACGAGTTATAAAATACTATAAAATTTTAATTTGATAACATATTTTTAAACACTATTTCGCATTTTTTGATAAAAGTTTATTCCGTCTGAAGTTTTATTTGAACAGCTGATAATAAAACTGTCTAGCTGCAATATCTTCAAGAATATATTATGACTACAGATAATAAAATAATCGTTTTGTTCTCTTGTGAAAAGCAGGAGGTAGGCTGGCTTTAGTTTAACGTGGACCGTCCGCGCTGACGACTACGCGCGTAGTTATCAACGTATACACTTTTTAGTGTCGTTCTGATCGCTGCCAAGTACAGATATGGCCAGTGGGTGTCCAAATAACTGCAGTGTATTATTATTTACGCAAAAACAATGAAGCGACAACGAAAAAAGATGAACACAGCATGTTCATCCACTTTTGCCTAAAGATTTTGCTAGTGGGTGCATTTATAATTTTGTGCAACCAATTGACACTGTTTGAAACAGAGTAAAAAGGTGTGATGATACCAAGTCCCATAACTTACGCATGTTACCAAGAATTTTTTACACTTTAATTAATGGTAAAGTTTGCTGATAAGTTACCACGGTGCAGTAGTACTTGTTTTTGGCATCATCCTTTTTGTAGAGTAGATCGGTTGCATTTACATATTTCTCCTATGTTCATCGCCATTCCACATGTGTGAACACGGTGGCGTCTATTCAGCTCGATACTGGAACGCTCACTTAAGGCGAAGGCGTTCGTGCAATAAACCAGGTCGGCGTAACTATAGAACGTTTCTATAGGGCCCATATACATATTATTAGCCTGCCAGCGCTGACGGTCAGCGTGATACTAAAACCAGCCTTAGTGTTGCCTCATCGACGTTATGTCAGATAACCTTAATCTGCCCATAGAAGAATACTAATGATTTCTGACCGCATCGACTAATCGTTCCGATCAATCCTTTAGTGTGTTGAGTGGTAATTCCAACCGATGAATCGTCATCATTTTCTTCAGATCCATTATAATGGCGGATCGTACCGTATATAGTTCCGTTAAATCAGTACAATATATATTTTTATTATATTCCTAATGAAAATTGCTTAAAACCTCCTAGATACCCCGAAATAGGACTCTTACCTACGATCTTTCACAATTCGAGTGGCTACATTAAACTGAGTTACCCGAGACCCAATTTTTCAAGCACTTGTTACCTTTAGCTGCTAGCGAGCGTATTTTCATCGATTATCTTTTAAGCATTTTTAATTAAGAATATTTACCAGTATGCAAAATTAATAAAATTTAATAATTATATTTATTGTTATAACAGTGTTGATCGTAAATCGTGCAACGAGTTACGTGCGTATCTCGCTAATATCGCGGACCAGTGCGGGGCGGCGGTCGCGGCGGGCGAGGAAGCCGCGTTGCCTTCTGTAGTCGTGTTAGATAATTTACAACACGCTTCCGCTTTGGGGGATGCGTTCGCTGGACTATTGCCGCCTGACAACAGAAATATGCCCGTCATCATTGGTGAGAACTCTAATTAAAGTTCAAATTTCAGGGTAATCTGCATTTTCGACCTTAATTCACAATAGCATTAATATATGAAATTGTGTACTTATTAAATGAGAATTTAATCATGCTTAATGCGTGAAATTGCTATAAATATTTCTATTTGTCAATAATTAATAAAATTAATTACATAAATATCAGCCATCTATATATATCCCAATAAGCGGCAAACCGTAACATACTTTGCTAATAACACAGGAATGGCGTATCAAATTCTTCATTTTCTTTATTTACAGTAGGTAGAAATTGATTAATATGTATTTGAATGCGGGGAAACAGTGCATCTAAATTTATTTTTAATTGTGTACTCGCAAACTTTGCTTTAAAGTGACTCTATAACTTAATATTGTGAGTGCACAATTAAAAGTAAATTTAGACATACTGTTTCACCTCATTTGCATACTTCTATCTCTTTTAATTAATTACCTAAAGATAAACGTACATCAATCGTATAAGACAACACCTAAGGAAGCAGAACAACTAATGTTTTTGTAAAAACATATAAATCTCCGCACACCAAGGGTATAACCGCTTAACTCTATAGCCATGGCTCTAGCTATAGGATAATTTCAATTTACTAATTTGATTGATTGATTTCATGTCTTTTGGTGGATAAATTAGAAATAAATGACTAACTTAGCAAAATCCATAACCATCATCATACTTAATCAGTTGTTTGTCTTAATTAAAATACACGTCGAAGTAGTTAAATGAAAAGAAATATCGCCACGGGTTAGGCCATTTAATCTCGTATTCTCTACTATTTTATGTGTAAATGCGTTTTTAGATTGTAAACATTTATATTTCATCACAGGAACAATGTCTCAAGCTACGTGTAATACTACGAATCTCCAGTTGCACCATAACTTCAGGTGGCTGCTTACCGCAAATCACATGGAACCCGTCAAAGGTTTCTTAGCAAGGTAAGTTTTATAGCAATTTTACCACTATACAAAAGAACTTGCTGACAACCAAAGATTACTTCGATATTATGTGGCTTATTTTAATATTAATATTATACAGTACGAGATTTTACTATCATGTCTTTGACATTATATAAATCTGGGTTGTCTATATGGATTTAGCACACTTTACAAAAATATTTTGTGATAATTAATATCGTTATATAACTGAAAAAAATACTTTAAACGCCGGATTTTTTTGGCGCGCTTTCTGTAACGTTAAAGTACGCGACGTAAAATATGACATTATAATCGAGTAATTTATTATTATTAAATTATTCAAATCGATTAACAACTAATCGACTTTTATTCAATATCATTGATTTTCTAAATATGTTTTTTCGAAAAACATAATTTTATTCATTCATTTATATTGTGACATTTCGATCTGTGACTTTACATCGTTAATAAACATAAGTACTGGTTGATCTCGCAACAAAGACGTTGACGTTTAGTTTATTGTATTGTGACGTCACACGATGCTCCATAATGGCCGCCCGCGTTCCATTTCTTGTAATCCAAATATTATAAACAGCAAGTTAATTTTGCACAAGTAAAATATACTTACATGCTACGTAGTTATTGTTTACATATAAGTTACCATTTTCAACTTGTTTTTTTTTTACTTGTTTTAACAGTCATAAGTATATCCAATTTGCAAAGAGTAAAGAAAATCCGTTTCACGCACGTCTCCTCTGTTATGTCTGTTTTAGTAAATAATAAATATTTTCGCGTAGATATCTACGTCGAAAGCTATTCTCGCTGGAACTCCGACTGGGACGACGTGAGCCCGCGTTGGCTGCCGTTTTAGAATGGTTGCCAGGCGTTTGGTCTACGCTCAACGCTTTCTTAGAAGCTCACTCTTCTAGTGACGTTACAGTTGGACCAAGATTGTTCCTTGCTTGCCCGATGGACTTGGAAGCTAGTCAGGTGAGAAAATACATACTTTTATTCTATGAATAGTTGTTAATAGGTAATTGATTGGGTGGTAGGTCATATCCATTTCTCACTATATCTATGTCTTGTAATTATCGAACATAAAATATCAAACTATTTTATACTAAAATAGATACAAAATCTATAAAAAAATTGTTGTACATTTTTCTATTTCTAATTCTTTTTCTATATTGGAAATATCATTTGTATTTGGATACCATATTTATCTATACAAAATATAAAATAAAGTCGCTTCTCGCTGTCTGTACGCTGAGATATTTCAACTATGGAACAGATTTTGATGCGGTTTTCACCAATATATAGAGTGGTTTAAAAGGAATATTTATATGTATAATGCGGATTAAGTCGCTGGTGGAAAGATAGATGTACATATATAAATATGATGATGATTCTAATTTCCATTATTTTTTTATAAACAGGCATGGTTCGCGGACGTATGGAATTACAGTATAGTACCTTACGCCTCGGAGGCTGTGCGTGAGGGCGTGGCTTTATACGGAAGGCGGAGACATGCTGCTTTGGATCCATTACAACACGTCAAATCAACATATCCGTGGCGAGAACCGAATCATTCACACGTCAGCGTAAGAGGATTTTTTACATTATATATAACTATAATTTATATTTTCAGAGTTTAGTAAAAATGATTAGGTCAATATTAATCTTAAGTACGCGGCGTCTACCCACCGCATCCTCCCTTCGTATGCGGGAACAAAACAAGAACATAAATAGTGTGAGTAATGATAGACACATATTTTATACGATGTCGATAATTCACATATCGAGAAAATCTATCGATGTTATTATTAAACTAAAAAGAACATAATTTAAGTCTGTATGTATACTTATTATATTATTATATCACAATACAAACAAAAAACACAAAAGTACTCATCAACTCTGAAATTAACTCTAAAACTCACAATATTGCTTTGCTAACCTCAGAATGAGAACGAAAAAAAAAACCCTTTTTTCGTAAATATATGCATGTAATTTTTATTTTACAAAGGAACGTAGTCATTCTGCCATTGACATAAATAATTTAAAAACTTTTAGGCGCCATAGATCCAAAATTGACATAATTTTACTCACTTCATAGATCAGTATACTGATAAAAATATTTATAACAGAATTATAAATGCGGTGGTACATTAGTTAAACCTACCTATCAAGTGCAATAATATATATAATGTGCTTAATTGACACAGCGGTTAGTATGCATGATTTGCGATGCGGAAGATAGACAATTTCGGTGATCATGGGATGGGTAACCAAAAATTTATTATCTCGAGCTCTTTCGTGTTTCGAGAAGCATATTAAACCATTGATCCCTGCTCTATCAGGACGTTAATATTCAGAAATTTGCACTGGGCCGGCGTAGTGGCCGGCTATGCTTCCAGCAATGGGGACAAAAAATAGCCTGATAAGGATAGACATCTTACTGCACTACATTAGTGTAAAATAGTTCTAGAACAAAAAAAAAAACTTACTTTATCGATAACATTTTAAATAAGAACTAAAATATTTGAAAGCGTGACTTATTTCATGAATAACTATGTTATATAATAATATTACGTTGTATAATAGATATGTACAGTTAAAAACTCATTAAATTTATAATATTGATTTACAGACTTTAAGGGCGATAACCGTTGAGGACGTTGGTATCGAAGAATCATCTCAAGATTCAAACACTAACAACAATCAAGATCCACTAGTAAGTTTTGACAATTTGTTATGTAAGGGAAATCGTAGTGGCGGGTGCAAACTTCAGTCAAGATATAGACATAAAAATAAAACTTCTTATATACTTTTTAATTAACAAAATATATGTATAATACAGCCAGGGACAAAGTGGATTTTTAAAGCATATTTCATTTAAAATATTAAATTGTTAATATGCTCACATTTACTTTACTCTTTGCTCACTACTCTTTGGATGACGTAGGACGCATAAAAAATGTTTTACAACGGGTATGTTCCGATATACACTGCGAGCACTGCGCAGTGGTCTTACTGCTGAAAAATCCGTTCCGTTATGGACTGCCAGTACACTGCTACAGTACACTGCTACAGAAATTTATGACGTCATAAATTGCCGCCATATTTGTACTGTGAGCACTGGAGATTTCGAGGTAAGGTGCTCGCAGTGCTTTTGATCACGTGATCAGTCGAAACAGAATCAGAAAACGATAAGTTTCTAAATAAACAAAAAAAAAATACTTACGTTTATTATAAGATGGATTTAATTGATAAATATTTTTTTATTCACAATTTTATAATATTTTCTTTTGAAAAGAGGGGATCTTTATATTATATTCACCTTGCATTAACAAATTTGAAAATGGCGCCAAAAAATAGGATTAACAGTATACTGGACTGCGTTCCGTTTTAAAAAGTCACCAGTATAACTAGCTATAGGTAAAGGAACGGGCTTCCAGTATACTAAATTGACGTCATACTATTCAGTGGTCGCAGTGTATATGGGAACATACCCTATATCTACTAGTGCTGCAATCTGATGACAAGAAATTGCAGTAATACATCCTATTGTTGGCTTCCCTTTGTTATATATGCGGACGCGCACGTTAACGATAAAACATTCTAGCAACATAACCACATAACTCTTTATTCTCGTCCAAAATGAGAGCTAAATAAAGAACTTATTTATTTTTCCAGCTAAACATGTTGATGCGACTACAAGAAGCAGCGAACTATAGCGGTAACCAAAGCCAAGACTCCGACAACGCTAGTATGGACTCGAATCTCACTCACGACAGCTCTATGGGCAACGAGTTATAAAATACATTTCGATTTGAGACTAGTTATGTAACGATATAACACCCGAAATGAATATTACAAAGTAATAATATATTTCGGGATTTATACCAACCTCTATACGTGATGACTGATGACACTTGTTTGTTATGAATTAGAAAATAAAGTGAAACTCGCTAAGAGGAGAATAGCCCGTCTAACATTTCCTGTCTCATATACGAATGCATTTACACGTTCCTTCGCGTGTGATTTATACGTTATTCAAAGCCAAATATTTGCCATATGTACATTATTTATAATTTATTTACTGTAATTGTTACTTTAATTTGGAATCTATGTTATTTTTATTTAGATTATGTAATTCTTCTCTCGATGTGAAATATTTAAAATAAAAATCTATTTTCGAAAGGACTGTGCTCCGCAATATTTGTTTTGTTGCAAATATTCATTGTACGAGCAGGCTATGCCTTTCCGTTCATTCGTTTTGTTGCAAAATTGATGTATTTTTTTTAACTTCGTGTTAAAAATCTACACGTATTCGTGCAGAGATAAATGACAGTGCCTGGAGCTATACTTTTTCCATTTTTATGAAATAATAATGTAATTCAGAAATGTAGAACTGTTACTGTTTGTATGAAGCATTATGGCTTTTACTATTGTTATATTTTTTCAAAATTAGGATACGGACCGCATTTGTATTACTGTGACTTGTATGTAAAAATAATATATATGAAAGTGTAATTTTTTATACCATTTTCATATAAAAACTCATGTACCTAATAAATATGTTTAGGTGTAAATAAAATATGTTTAATATAATTTTTTTCTATGCGAATACACTAACTGCTATTTTGCCATAAATAGTATAGCGTTACTTTTGTATAGAAATACCTACGTAACAAATTCGTTACAGTGTTCGGTATGGAATATGGATTGACTTGTGTGCATAACTAAAACGTGATATCTACAATCTATGCTTTACTGAAAATGTGAAATAAACATTGATTATAAAACTTATTTTGTCTTATTATTATTGCCTTATATTCATGAACCCAATATACATTATCATGCTCTTAAAAGGGATGAGAATCGTGCAGTAAGAACAAATAAGTGTAACACAAAGCTCGCTTGATGTATAAGCCGTATTTAATTGAATGAAAATTCGTTGGAGATTGTGTGAACTGGTCAATTTATTCACTTGAAATTGGCAGAATTGTGCGAAATTAATAAAAGAAGAAGACATGAAGACGATGCCCTTCGATCGATTTTAATGACTGGATTTGCTTAAAAACTGAATCTAAATATGCTGCCGAATTCTAGCACATAGCAAATTTCCTGATGGTAAAATCATAGCAAACGTACCAAACCAAAATCCTGCAGGCGTTATAGATTTTACTTTAATCATAATTATTGCGTTTATTTAGGTTTTACCACCTTATAACCATAGATTATAGCTATATTTAGTCATAATAATTTAAAGAACATTCGATTTTAATAGCTAGAGTAGTAAAATACTTTGTAGTTTTCGGATAATTTATGTAATTATATCACTTCTTGGTACCTTACAGTGGTGAATTTGCGTGAGGTGTCAAGTTGTAATGATTTATGAATTCATGCAAAAAATACTTTTTAAAAGAGACTTAAGTCCTAATTTAAAAGATTGTGGCGCTGCCAAACTGCGATTAATTTAGCAGAACCGCCACATTATTTTGTTATAAAAGTATTAACTTTAGCTATTTATCGCTGCTATGTCCGAAACGTATAAACTTCCTAGTCTACGTAATTTGGTTATTTGTCCCCATTTCGTAACGGACTGATAAAAAGGGAGAAGATTGCTCAACAATTCTTTTTAAAATAAAACAGGGTGGCGCTGCTAGTCTGACAAACACCTATGTGATCTCGTTGGTCAATAAAATATTGACCGACCAACGAATGCGCGCCAGAGTAATCACCCGTACCTAGGGTTGCCAGATAGCGAGACTAAAATATCCGGACAAAATTTGAAAAAGTCGGAATTTTGGGATCACAGTCGTGACAAAAAAAAACTAATAAAATCCACTTTTAATTTATTAAATTTTATAATAATAACAAGTGTCTACTTTTTTTCAATTTATAAGATCATATAATAATGGTATAACATTTAAATACCTAAAAAAATTTTTTGTGATATGTGTGTTATTTTATTTTTTATACTTGTAATTCGATTTTACAGAATCTAACAGTTTTTGTCGGGACATATTGTTTTTTTCGGGACTCTGGACATCATACAAAATGTCTGGACAATCCAGATGAATCCCGACCATCTGGCAACCCTACCCTTACCGTATGTGTCAGGTTGGCAGCGACACCTTCCCTTATTTTGATTGGATTCTTAATCCATCTTGTCCCTTATTTAGCAGTCTGATTAACAGACTTTGTTACAAAATAGGAAGAGCTTCCCCCCTATTTCGTAACTTCGGCAGGGCTTTACTTGTTGTACGCTTATTTCGTCACAATTACTTATATGAGACTAGAACATTGATTTGACTTGTCAGAGTTTTGACTGCCAGTGTGGTCTATATTATTTTGAACTCATGGTGCAGCGGTGCACCGCGCTGTCAACTCAGTGTGATTTTATTCTAAGCATGGCTTCAATACATACTTGTAGTACAAAACAGTTGCTTCCCGTCGTCTATTCCTATGTACATACATATGCTTAGATCTTTAAAACTACTCAACGGATTTCGACGTTTTTTTAAAAAAGGAAGGATTAAAAAGGAAGGTTTTTATGTAACACAAATACAAGACCACGAGGGTGAAGCCGCTGACGGAAAGCTAGTGTGAAATAAGAGAAAATAAATGTTTGGTCACCCATCCCAGGCCCGGCTTTTGTGAAAGTTGCTTAACTTTTGCAAACGCAAATTATACTAGTCGTGATAGATGGAGAGTAAAAATACACAACATTAAATGCAATAGCTTTAATGAATAAAATATGCAAAGCTATAGTTTTGTTACTTCACCAAACACACCAGACGAATAGATATTAAAATGGAGCAATTTGGACGGAACCGGTTATATATAGACTAGATTGTAGTAGAAACTGAGAAGAGGAACCATTTCTTGAGTAAAATATTGAAATACTATAATGTATTTATAAGGCACAACCACTTTGAAAAAATCATCAGCAACACATCAGTTTACCATAACGGTTTACCATATTAGGTAATGGTAAATTTCCACAGTTGATTTTGAATTCTACATCAATGCTTTAAAATTTAATGAAAAAATTTGACTGTTTTGTATAAATTGATGTACAGATGATTTTACATTTGTTTATGTTAATTACACTTTAGGTTTTTGTTTCTAATTTAAGAAACAAATTCCTGGCTGCTGCTTAACTACTTTTTATATAACTTCATGTATTTTAAAACTAATATATAAGGTTCAGCATATATTTTTCAAAGTATTTAATTTTCCATAATAAAAGTCATTATTTTATTATATGCTGTTAAATCAATAATTTTCAAAACTCTAAAACTATAATTAGTCAAGGAACTGAGCAAAGTTAGTATGCTATGCTAATAGGTTACATTATTGCTTTAACAATTCAGTAATAAATACATATTGTACCAATCTCATTTATCTTACATTATTGAGATGTGTTGCAATCAGTTTAGTTAGTATAATTTTTACTCTACATGACTATTACAATCATCTAAAGCTTTAATTTAGTCACTATGTATGTCTAGACTAAGATTAGATATTGAAGGAACTGGAGAGTCAGAGAAATCACCAGAATCATTAATAGGTGACTTTATACTTCTTGGTGATTTACTCGAATGTAGGCTGGGCTCTTTGGATCTGTTAATTGACTTCTCATTATTTATAGGGCCAATAGATAGACTTTTCTCGCTGATCAAATCGGCAACATCAGATATGGACACTGAACTTCTAGAACTGTGGGAATCTCGTGGGCTACCTGCAGAAATGTTTTTGTCAATGTAATCTTCTTGAACAAATTTTGGTGAATGGTGATCCGAATCAATGTCGTTATGTTTTGAGCCTCCCGACAGACTGAAATCATAACTATATTCTGCTGTTTCAGATTCCGATTTGACAGATGACTCTTGTGTATGTTTTATTTTTATTTTATCTTTGTTGGTTTCATTTTCTTCCTTTAATGGTAGCGACAAAATACTATTTAAAGTGTTTGGAACAGAATCGTCTTTAACTTCACTTCCATTATTGATATGGTCAATTTTAATATTTTCTTTACCAGGAGATTGTTTTGGGATACCATTTGCATTATTATTTTCTAGCGGGATGGGTATTCCTGTAGTATTGAGCAATTTCTCTTCAGAAGCGTTAAAGGGTTTTAGTTCTGCATATGACGTTGAATCGCTACTGCTGTTTTGAATTATTTTTAATTCATTAAGAAAATAAGTGGCAGAATTTTCTTTTGAATCATTTATGGTCAGATTTTTTTCATTTTCTTCCATCACATTAGTAACATTATGTTTAGGTGTAATATGATTGTCATTTGAATGTAATATATGAGCATTAGGTATGTATTCTGAACTTGATTTGTCTCTTGCAGAGTCACTTGATGTATCCGTATCAGAATTATCTAATTGAAGTCTAAGATGCAACTTGGTTTTCTCATCTGAAGAATTATCTGAATGTGTTTGACTAGTAGTAGTACTACTATCGTCATGCACAATGTAAGTACAGTTTTGATCATCCTTGTAGTTCATATTATCATTTTTTGTTGTACCATGAATGCTGTTTCTGTCATTGTAATGCCTTTGGTGTGACTTGAGAAAGTATTTTAGAATCGATACCAGTACTGGTTGTCCAGAACTATCTTGTTTGACATTAAGTTTTTCACATAGCTTTTTTTGGCCTTCATATTTGTATTCCCTCTCTTGTCTTGTTTCTGATTTGTATACAAATAATGTATTTCTTAGGTTACAAAATTCCAAGAACTCGTGAACGATGGAGAGCGCTAATAAGCCTTCCGGTAATTTTAAAACACTATCTAATGTAATATTTTGTTTTATACTCTCGTAGTCATCTTCAAATGCTAAAAAAATATTTGCTCTTAGTAAAGCACGAATTTTTGCAAGTGATCCATTTTTTTCTAGGGCGTCCATTACTAAATCTCTAAGCTCAGTATCTTCAGACTGAGCCATACCTAATAAAGGTGATGAAATATTTTTTAACAAGCGGAAAAGTTATTTTTATTTTATTATTTATTCACAACACTCACAGCGCACGCGTAAACAATATCGTCCGGTCTTGACAGTGACAGTGACAGCAAAATGTTTATAGATGTTGGTCCATTCAAAACAAAGGAATCTTATCTACAATGCCAATATATTTTCTCTCGTTTTCTTCAATACAATGGTAGCCGATGTTTCAATGCTTCGATGAAGAATTTGAAAAAGAGAGAAAAAATAACAAAAAAGGCTTTACCTATCGAATAAAGGAGCTACCAAGGCACATCAATACTGTTTTGTTCACGAAATATTATAATTGAATGTTCGTGGTCTCTTCTGTTACAAAATATATATTTTTTAAACCAAAACCTAGCTGAAACATTAAAAATTAAATAAAATTAACTGTAGGTTAAATAAAATACCAAACTGTTTTATGAAATAGGACCCATCATAATTGTGTTCTCTAAAAGTTATACTTATAACGCAGAACACAATCAAATCATTGTAAAAAATAGTATATAGCTTATATAGGTATAAAAACGAAACTAAAAAATTATATAAAATAGGAAAAAAGTTAAGTATAGACTATACGTACTATAATAAAGAAAAATATAATTCAAATGAATAATGGTAAAATGAATTAATTTACTAAAATCATAATACTGATAAAAATAATAGTTTATGACATATTATATGTAATGGATATATATTTCTTGTAACATAAAATGATGTTCAGATTTTTTTATCGATTGTTATATTGTATATATCTCGACAAATATACTATGTTTATGTAAAATATATTTACTGTTACTTTATTTGCAAACGTGCTCAATTATAGGGGTGAAGGCTTGCGCCGGGAAAATGTGGGAAACAGCCAGTCGGGCCGAGGGAACGAGCGCGGATGGTCGACGCGTTTCCGCCTCGCATTCAACGGCGCTATGAAACTTTTAGTCTGTTTTTCTGTCATATCTAAGCCAAAATACTTATTTTAAAAGTAATTACACAGTGCACCATTTCTAGTGTTTTGATATCTTGATTGATTCTTCATACAATGGAAGTTAAAGTGTTAAAATACTAGTGGCGGGAAACGTTTTTGATATCTCGCTTGACATGTTGTGTCCTATGTGTACATAGATCGAGAGGAGCCGTCTGCCCTAGAGGGCGGCCGACATGCTGGATTCGTCGTGAATCGATATTTTTGGAGCGTTGTACAGCTGAAACCATGAAGTTCGAGGCTCAATAAGGTATGGCAGGTGTTATTATTAATAGTTTTCATCTGGTCGACTCCACCCAAGCTAAACACGAGTCCCACGGTGGGCGCCAGTGAGCTACCTGCAACTGCCGATGCTGATGACAAGAGCTTATAAACTGATTTTTATATACTAAAATAAATTAACTATATACTTTATTAGGTGGTCAAAATTATTAATTTACATAAACTTCATTATTAACATAACATATTTGGTAAGCTACTGCTCGTAATAAGTAAATTAATAGATCGGTGTACAAATGTGTAGTTGAAAGATCAATTTATTCACGAGATTTTATTAAAATTAATTGTACTTTCTGATACACTCGCGTGATTTTCGCTTTTTAATTGCGCTTTATAATTATCGTTAAGGTACACTATAAAATTGTTAGATATTTTATATAACAAAATATTAACTCACCTGTAGGTAATCTCCAAGTAAAGGTAGCAATGTGCGTTGACCGCCGCACTAATTAACTATGTATAATGTCAGAACACGCATGATTAGACGTTTTTAATATTGCCTGTTTTGCGTGTCAGAATAAAATCAATATTTCATAACAACTTGAACTGTGTTAATAATGTAAATAACTTTAATATAAATACGCATTACATTAGCTATGAGAATACTTATAGATATGTGGCCAGACCAGTGATGTGCTATTTTTAATTGTCCAGGCACGTAAAGAATATCAACTAAGTAAATGTTAATATTAATCGTAATAACTAAAAATTAATAATTAATTTTAAATAGATTTGCGGATCACACGCAAAACTAACGATTAAAATTGAGTGCTGCATGGAGCTGGAGTGTGGACAGGTTCGCTTGTAACTAAAATTAGTATTTTGTTTTATTATTATAAGAAAGAAAAAATTGTTTAATTCTCATAATATTTTATTTGTGACCAACAATTAATATATCTACCCTAATTAAGTCCAATTAATTAATCATGATTAATTTATTTGTAATTGTTTTTTTGTTTATTAAAATAGGTCGAATTGATAATTGAATAACCTCCTTCACCGGCATGAATATATTTGAACAAATCCCTGTTAATTGTTAATGCGCTTGGAACCCTGTCTAAATAACACCCGCGTGATGTTATATGAAAACCGAAAGTACAGATAGAATAAAAGGCAAAATATAAATGATTTAATGATAAATGATTCAAACGATTGCTTATTATTAGCATTAATACATATTTTATTTGTCGTGACGTCGAGGTCTTTATGCTCAAAGAGATCTGTATCCCTTGAACTGAAATGGGTAAACACCAGCAGAAAAGCATTAATAGGTCTGTTGGAAATCTATGTGATAGTCGTGTAAGTATATCTGTAAAATAAATTAAATAAAAAAGTTTTTATTTCATGCTTTTTAATGATATTCATATTTTTATAACAAAAGGTAACACTAATAATACTTTTCTGAAAACCGCGACGAAAGCATGTTAAAGTGCGAATTTTTTTAGTCGGTTAATATACCTATACCTTAAACCTCCTGCTAATTCTGACAAGGTTCAGCCAAACACGAAATAATCGCGTACAAACACATACGTATATACATACAGGTCAAACTAAGAAACTCCTTTTTTGATGTCGGTTAAAAATATATTAGTTAGACAATATCACATATATTGCTCAGATTTTCAAATGAGCAAGATATGCTTTGTAATTAATTTGATTTGGTCAAATTTGAAGATTTTCGTCTTTTTTTCATTTTATTTGATCGTATCTCGTTAATATCGGCTGCATCCAGTAACCAGAAGCTTCCGAAATGCTGAAACAGCGCTAATATAACTACTATTACTCTCTAAATACATCCCTAACTATTGATTTTGTATTACTAACCGAGTTGAAATCTAATACGAGTATTTGGTGGCAAAAATACCGCAATTTTATGTGTGGAATTTTGTTCCTGTTTTATAATATGAATGATTGCTTTAGTAAGTGATTAAAATTATATGTATGGCTAAGTGCATTGCGTGTTCGATTATCAATTTTCTAATGTAGTCCTTAATTTAGAAGGCTTTTGTTAACATTTAACAATTTGCACTAGATCCGCGTAGTTGGCAATGTTTCATTTTACTTTGATTCGGTTCCCTTCATGAGGCAGCCCTTTGGCCCAGTAGTGAGGAAATTAACAGGCTGATGATGACTAGAAAAACTATTATTATGATTGCAAAATTTCAAGTTAAGTGATGATGAATTGTATTTTAGGATATGAATTCTTATGCACTGATAATAATTCTTTCCTGTATTCGGTATAAGTTTTGATATTTGCTTACACAAAAAAATACTCAAAAATTCAACTATGCCATACAAAAACCGAAGGAAACTTTTTTCATGACGGAAAATTAAAAATTCTTTCGACTAATTTAGAAAAATAAAATATTGTGATTTTCGTTGGATCTTCTATTATTATTATTGTAATCGACAGCAAGCATAGAGGACTGTAGATAATTAATAATATAATTTTTAGCACAGAAAAAGATTTATTGTTGACCAACGTACAAAAGCAAGATACAAGAGAATACATTGACAAGGTTAAAAAAGTAAAAAAAAATAAATTAAAAACAAGTATAAAAGCCTCCTTAAAGAGGCCAGTAATAATATATCAAAAACATGGTAAGGCTGTCGGCAACAATTATCTTCTATTTATTGTTCTCTCTGGTTGCTTTATTAAAATATATTTCTCCGAAATATATTTTTCTTTGTATCGGTTTATAAAAGAAAATCCGTACACATGAATTTCATAATATTATCTACTTACTACTTACCTACTTGATCGGATAGGAACGGTTGTTTACTTTGAAAGATACAGGGAGGGCTACGTGCTTGTTGCCGTACATTCGAGATTAAGAGTATCTTTGATGCATTCATAATCTTACTTACTATGTTACAAACAAACACACAAATATGACTATAGCCATCTATAGCCAAAGGTCACGTCTGCTTTACACACGGTACAAGTAATTAGGTATTATATTGCACCATCACATTACTTGTGTCGTGTTCTCAAAATGTTTCTTGTTTAAAGGAAAATAAAAGTCTTTTTCTTGTTTATACATATCGGTAGTTTTATTCCCTAAACATGAAAAATTTTATGCCTTCTAAAATAACATTAAGACGCTCAATGACCAAGACAGTGACAAAATAGGTCTATAATAGTAACGATGGTGACTGCTCGTAATTTATCTGTATCCAACAAATCTATTTAATTCTATATTATTTAAGTTGCTTAATTTAGTTTTTGAAACACTTGTGGGACTGTACCAAAAAGTCTTTACAATGTTGCTCTGTAGTAATTATGACAAAATCGGTTATAATACTATTTAGTACAATAGATAATCTTATAAATTTTTAAACTTTGGCGTTGCATTATATTGGATTGTATGAAACCTACCTATATTTCCTGGCATTTCGACCGGGTTACACCGGTCGTAGTCGGGCAACAGTCAGCCCGTGACCACGGCCGGTGTAACTCGGGAAATATAGGTAGGTGAAAAACCTAACTATCAATTTATCACGTTAATACCCGTTTCATATAATCTAATAGATGATCTTAATGATTTTTTTAATTTTAATAGGTCTTTAAGTGAGTTTGTGTTACTGCTACAAGGCTAGAGTGAAACATAGCTCTCTAATTGCGTTCAAATTACTGTTATAAATCTAAGGGGTAAAATACGCACAAGCACATTAAGTAATAATTAATTTACCAATTACAGCTATCGTATCCTTGCCTATAGTTAACCGTGTAGTAAGTAAGTAAGGAATAACTAAGTTCTGATAAGCATCTTTATCTCTTAAACGTAATATCTTCCAGGAAACTGTAGCAGAAAGGACAAACTAAATCATAATTGAGCACAAAGACTTTTTGATTGAGCAGTCAAATGAAAAACACATCGTCAAAAAGAACTTATTGTTTTTTAACCCAGTCGTGACAATTTACCGGATATACAACGAATAATGGTGAGGCCGCGTGTAA